ACTTCCGCGTTTTGGCCTACAGAGTGACATCGTAACTTCGGCGCTCTATAGGCTGAACACGTAATACGCGTGCGCCTGACGTGACGGTCTTCACAAATTTGCGGGGTTTTTTTGTAGTTTACACAGACTATAAATAGTAACGCTTTCAAAAACCTGCACTTAGAATCACGTTCTCAAAAGTGTGCGTTTTCATGCCTCGCAAAATTCTGTTGTCTTGTAAATGAACGGCCAAAAAGCATTACAAATTCTCAGTTAGTAGAAAACGGTCCCTGCATCATTCGTGTCTGTAGCACAACTCCATTTATAACACAGTCCTGACTCTAACTATGAGCAATAATAAGGCAAGCATCACTAAAAATTAGATAGTGAGGTGATTACTGAGCAGTGATCCATAAAAAAACTTATTCTCTTCCACATATGACCCCCACAGGGTTACCTGTCCTGTGCACTCTTTCTCTCTGTCCAGCTAGCGCCAGTACTCTGATTTACTCTGACTGGGAGACAGGAGAAGGCCGTTAGGACGGCTGTGGAGTCCTGAGAATAGGCTTGGGTACGACAGGATTACTCTGTGACCTTTGACCAGCCCTCCATTAGGACCCTGGTGATTTCTAACCATGGGCTCGAGGGCAATGAACTACAGAACACTAATTACAGACACACAGTGACAGGCCTGGGACCACAATGGGCTTTTATGAGGGATTGGACAGACTGGCATTAAAACAGAGAAGGGTGCAGCAGGGCAGGGGACATGACCGGGCAGCTGTTCCTCAGATATAACATGATTCACAAACTCAAATGCACAGCAGCAACACTGCTCACGCTATTATAGTAGACCTAATGCGTATGCCGAAGATCATTCTCGGAGATCATTTTCACTAACTGGGATGTAAGATAGCTCCGGTATGAGGCGAAACAGAGCAAGCGATGTGATATGAGAGTCATAAAAAGTAGTATGGGTGATATACACAATCTCAATTAGTATGAATGATTCGATGATTTCATTTGTAAAGTTTCGTACAATTTGCTTTTGCCCAGTGACGTTATGTTTAAGATGGGGTTAGGGGAGAACTTTCATGCTTGCTTTTTCCATACAATTCATATTGTACAGCTTCATAGAAAATCCCCACATTCACTGTAAAAAAAATGTCTTCCTTACATTTTAACAATCAACTTTATGTTCAAGTCATTTCAACTTAAAGGAGTAGTTCACTTTTAAAGAAAAAAAATAAAAGTGCTGATAATTTACTCACCCCCATGCCATCCAAGATGTCCATGTCATTCTTTCTTCAGTCGAAAAGAAATTAAGGTTTTTGATGAAAACATTCCAGCATTTTTCTCCATATAATGGACTTCAATGGGAACCAAACAGTTCAAGGTCCAAAAGACAGTTGCAGTGCAAACTGCAAACTGTTCAAAGGGGTTTAAACGATTCCAGACGATGAATAAGGGTCTTATCAAGCAAAACGATCGCTCATTTTAGAAAAAAATAACAAAGTTTAAGTTGAGCTCAAATGCTCGCCTTGCTCTGTTTTGTGATGTGCGTTCGTGACTCTCCACTTCGAACTCGTTTATCAAAATGAACGAATCTTTTTCAGAGTCAACTCGTTCATTTCATTCGATAAATGAACCAAATGAAACGAAAAAAAGATTAGTTAATTTTGATAAACGAGTTCGAACAGGAGAGTCACAAACATGCGTCACAGAACAGAGCAAGGTGAACATTTGAGCTCATAAAACTTAAACTTTGTTATTTTTTTCTAAAATGAGTGACCATTTCACTTGATAAGACCCTTATTCATCGTCTGGAATCGTTTAAAGCCCTTTGAACAGTTTGCACTGAAACTGTCTTTTGTACCTTGAACCGTTTGGTTCCCATTGAAGTCCATTATATGGAGAAAAATTCTAGAATGTTTATCAAAAACCTTAATTTCTTTTCGACTGAAGAAAGAAAGACATGGACATCTTGGATGACATGGGGGTGAGTAAATTATCAGCAAAAGCTTTTTTAAAAGTGAACTACTCCTTTAAATTACATTACGTTATACAGGATTCAACTAATTTTCAAGTTAGTTTAGAGTAAAATGTTCGAACTGTATATTATAAAAAAGGCTGAAAATTGGTTGACTTACAGTATTTTGATGGGTTAAATCAATGAAAAAAACATAAGTTTTCATAACTTGTTGATCATATAACTTAAGTGTTGTAAAATAGTTGGAAGCTGGATGGCAATCAAGCGTTCCAACACACCATGTAATATTGAAATAATGAACAATATAAATATCAAAAATATAATTAAGAGCACTATATAAGTAAATGGGCTAAAAATACATTTCAAATCTGGAATTTCAGGTGCGTATAAAGAATTCAAGAATGCACCGAGCATGTAATTACAATACGCACACTACTCCTTTTGGATTTATTTTCTTACTAGGCGTGACCTAGGACAGAATGTAACTGGATGTCATACAAGGACGAACAAGTTCTAGTAAAACAAAACATTCCCTTTCTACTGATGTTAAAGCGTTGCTGATTTGGATTCTGAAGCAAACACACCCTTTAACGGTAATATAAAAAAAGTTTCAACCTGTTGAACAACATAGCAAATTGCAGCTGAGTGAACATGCGTGAATGTTTGTATGAATCCAGTACAGTGTGTTCGGTTTTCACAAATTCAGCATGTGGCGGTGGGCAATTACTATACGGCCCGTCTCAGAGGCGGGTAACTGGGCGAGATTTACACAAGACCCTCCTCATAGACGGACGGACCACTGCTGAGACGGCCAGAGGTACTGCAAATAACGACAGGCCACGTGTCAAAGAAAACACAGCCCATGGATATCTGATATTAACCCAACAGTCATATTAAAGGTTATAGTATATACACTGATGTATAAATAATTGCTTTTTCCATGGGTGCAAGGGTAACGGTCCATGAGCCTGGTCCATACCAGCCTCTACCTGGGTGGCTCAGACACTGAAAGATATAGCTAGTAATCGCATAAACATTCTCTTATACACATAAAGAACATTTATATTAGGGTTACTGTCACACACACACTATAGCTATAACTGCTCTACACTGCGATTGTATAACTGTGAACAAAGTTTATGTTAGGTGAAGCAGGTGATAGTGACAAACTGTCTCTTTAAGCTGAACGCCAGTATAGTCTAGAACTCTAGATGACACATGAGATTCGAAAAGGAAACATACACCTGGATTTCGTAACACTTAAGTAACAAAGTACACCAGTACGAAAGGTGATCTGAGAATACAAGGCAATCTAAAAAAGGAAAGAAGCAAACAGACATAGTGTGTGGAACTGGTTTCATTGGCAAGCTGCCATCTTCTATGTTTGGTCTGGGTTGTGCTGCCCAAACAAGTTTCTATCAAGTACAAGAACACAGATGAGTTCCTCTGTTGTAAGTAACTCTGGACATCCCCTACTGCCTGCATCATCTGTGGTGATCAGAAAGAGGATCAGGATGCTTTAGTCTGGTCATGACCTTTAATTTACAATAAAAGCCCTCGCCTGACCTTTGTGCACTTCAAATGATCAAAGATTTGGAGAAATAGAAATCCAACAGAAATTCCAATTAAACTGACAGTAAATATTGCATAGAGTCATAATTTCGTCTCACTATAAAAAGACTTGTGTAATAAAATCTGAAGTATAAATTGAGATATTGGATTTAATAATGAAATAAAAATTATTATTAGTCTAATAATAGCGTTATTTGTGTATCTTAGATTCACTAAAGTGATGATTTACATATTAAAAAAAAACTAACTTATGGTTATTAACTTACTGGTTTGATGTTTATTTGTCAATATTCTGAGGAAAATTAGCAGCGATCATTGTAAATAAATATGCTGTTGAACTAAAGAGAACAAGTATGAACTCAAATTCAAACAGCTGTATAACCATGGCAAACTTTTATATGTATTGGCAAAGTATTAACTGTGTTAACGTCTATATTTTGTAATCAGTGACGCGCAATGTCATGTTTACGTGCACGAGCACTTGATCTGTCGCAACAAAGTGAAACGTGCCAGAGACTATCGACAAGTCCCGTTGGGTACGAAAAACGTGTCTTATGGAATGTTATGTGAGCCTACTATTGTTCAGACTTTTTGAGTCTTATTATTTAAGGGAACAATTACAGGTAGGAAACTGAACAAAACTATACCTACAAACGCCCATCTCAACATTAAATCCAAATAAATGTGTTAGTATCTTTACACAAGTGTAAGACTGGTGTAAATTGAGTTAAAGTATCCAACCTAGCATGAATCCTTCTTAAATAAAGTACTTAACTGTCATGTTGAACTCGATTATTTCGCGGTTGTGGTTTAAACAGTGATGTTTAACATGCGTGTGTAGTTTTGAGAGGATCCCTAGGGACGGTGGACCTTGTGGCACGCTGTCACTCCACGATAAGACACGCCCCTTTTCAAAACCATTGGCTGACGGACGGAGCAAACGCACTTTGCCACAAAAAAAAGCAGACAATTGCCCTGTTTGTACCTTACTAACATATAAACAATTCATATGTATTCGAACAGTGTTTAACAGTTCACATGTCACGTTGGCTGAGTCTTATGAGACGCACGAATGAAACTGCCCAACTCTCAACACTCCACATACACACTCATACTGCCCCTTCTAGTAAACGGAGACGTCGTGACGTGAAAGATTAAGTTATAAAAGTAACACGCTATACATTACTCGGCTTCTTTGTATCCCGCCACTGCTACAGTCTAAAACAGCTAAGCGGGTAACCAGATATTCAAAAACAATACGTAATCCCACAATGCACCGCTCCTTCGCCTTATAGCATTACCTCATCCCATCAGCCACCGCGAGAAGAAGAATCTTCTGGGTGGTCGTCTAGGCAACGCGCCTTATCTGAAACTGCGTTCCGCCCAGTCAAGCGCCTCCAGCCAATAAGAGAGCGCGCGCATGACATCATCGCTATTTTTAGTGGGGCAGCGGTAGCAGATAAGGTTTGCCTCCACGCTGGAGAAGCTCAGAGTATACAGATCTCGCCACAGTGAAACATCTAGGCAACACACACTTGAACTAACATAAACAAGAACACTTTTGGGCTCCGCGCTGTTTAAACACCGGCATCCCCGAACAGCGCGGCGGAGGAAGAGCTTCTATCCGCGAAACGAATGAGAAGAACAGCAGCTCGGGACACTGAGCGATAACTTTACGCAGTAAGTTTCTCGCGGGACGGGGAGTTTACGGAGCGAGCTCTAAACTTTGCGACTCTTCTGGCTTTTGTCTCCGAGGACACTCGCTAAACTTCGGACAGACTGTTTTTTAAACGAAAAAGTTTCGTTTATCTTCTATGTCTACCAAGATGGAAACTACTTTCTACGATGACTCTGTAAACAGCGCTTTCTCTCAGCATGACAGCGCCGCTTTTGGATACAACCACAAAACTCTGAAACACAACATGACGCTGAATCTGACCGACCCGGCCGGGAACCTGAAGCCCCACCTGAGGGCCAAAGCCAACGAGATCCTCACCTCGCCCGACGTGGGGCTGCTCAAACTGGCCTCGCCGGAGTTGGAGAGGCTCATCATCCAGTCCAGCAACGGCCTGATCACTACAACGCCGACTCCGACCCAGTTTCTGTGTCCCAAGAACGTGACCGACGAGCAGGAGGGCTTCGCGGAGGGCTTCGTGCGGGCGCTGGCCGAGCTGCACCACCAGCACATGCCCAACGTCACCTCGGCGCCCCAAACGACCATCAACAACAGCATGGCACCCGTGGCATCCATAGCAGGCGGCGCGGTGTACAGCTCGTCCATGCGCCCCGATCCGCCGGTTTACGCGGACCTGAACACGTTTAACCCCGCCACCAACCCCGCGATGAGCTTCACGAGCGCCCCGCCGCCGCAGCACAGCGTCAACGCGCCGCTGCCCGTCCAGCACCCGCGGCTCCAGGCGCTGAAAGAGGAGCCCCAGACGGTCCCGGAGATGCCCGGCGAGACCCCGCCTCTCTCCCCCATTGACATGGAGAGTCAGGAGCGGATTAAAGCCGAGAGGAAGCGCATGAGGAACCGAATCGCCGCATCCAAATGCCGGAAGAGGAAACTGGAGAGGATCTCCCGGCTGGAGGACAAAGTCAAGAACCTAAAGTCGCAGAACTCCGAGCTCGCGTCCACCGCCAACATGCTGCGCGATCAGGTGGCCCAACTCAAGCAGAAAGTCATGAACCACGTCAACAGCGGCTGCCAGCTCATGTTGACGCAGCAGCTGCAGACCTTCTGAGAAGAACCGGAGGACATTTGAGTTCACTTACATGGGCGCGAGGGACAAACTGCGAGCCGGCGCGACTGCTGGCGTGTTAGCCCGCTGGGACCGGGAGCGTCCGGCCGGCCGCGTGCCGTAAAAGGATGTTCTGACTGGACTTTAGAGGAGGGCTAAACTTCTCCGACTCGGTCCGACAGAGAGCATGAGACTCACTCTGTTACATGTTTTACTTTCTGACGAGAAAAGAGACTTATCCTTGTTCACTTCGAGCAGGTTGTGCATGGACCTGTACGCTTCAGAGGAGCGCTCAGTATTATAGGAGTAAAACAGGGGACATGAGTAGGGATATTCATGTCTGGCTCACCAAGCAAGAAGTTCTGTCCGATAAACTCTTGCCTATAAGCTGCCTGACTTCTTCTGAGTTACACATTGTAATTTTTTTGTTCTTAAACTGAATGGAATTGACTTTTTTCTTTTTTCCAATTTCAGCCGTTTCTTTTTTTTTTCTAAAAAAAAAGTTCATTAATGAGGTTTCACTCATTGTTATTTGTAAATAAGATCAACCAGGAGTACTTAAGTTTACCATTTGTAAGTAAAGTATACAATATAATTTTTTATGTTTGTTTTCTGAGCACATCAGAAACTAATCAATATTTATGAACTGTAATAAAGTATGTGAAACGAAAAACAATGTCTCTGTTTCTCGTGTATATGTGTGTGTTGACCAAGACAAACAAACGTGTTTTTGGGAGAGACTGTCTGTTTTGAAATGTCCACATTGAATAATAGAGCCGATGATGTCCAAAAGTTCTGTCAAAAACTACAATAATTTAACCCATAATAGTCATTCAACGGTGGCCTATTAAATGGGATAGCATACATTCTGATTAAAATGTGAAATGAAAACCTCTTACAAACAATTAAAAATTAACTTGAAAGATTGAAGCAGCAATAATAACTTAAAATGTGATTGTCAGGTGCAATAACGCTGAAATTAATAAATCATCTTCAAACAATTCAGTACTAAACTGTTAAAACGAAGTAGCCTATGCATGCCTCTAATCACGTTATTGTGTTTGTCTCAACTGAAATCACTAAAGTTCTCTGTGTTTCATGATGATGATGCGGTGTTCAGCAGCGCACCAGGAGAGGGCGCCCTCGGCCTACACTTCATCAACCTGAAGCAGCCGCTTGTTTCTTTTGTGATTGAGTTTCTTGGAGTCTGATCAGACTGTTAACTTGACTTAACGCAAATAGAAGACACACATCTTTAAATAATTATACTATACATAGTATAGAAATATAATGGATCTCACCGTTATATATATATATATATATATATTTTTTTTTTTTTCAAATGCACGTCACAATACACAAAAAGTCAAATAAAAAAATAAAATCTAATTTCGTATTCAGGTCACCAACACAGATTAATATTTAGCATCTTTCAGATCCTCTTTATTTCACCGCCCAAACTTGGCAAACGATGACATCATACCGGAAAACCGGCACCTACCTATCCATATAAGGCAAGCGCGCGGTCGGAAGATCTACGTCATCTAAACTAGTGGGTGTGTATTACGGGAAGAGGAACTCCTCGGACTAATCTCCAGAAGACTGACATACCTTTTGTGCACTCTTTTAGAAGAAGAGGGTTGATCATTGACCCGGCACATTATCAAATTGAAGCAAGGACTTTACTAAAATACACAACACATATTCTATTACCAACAAAATATGAGCAGAATCTCTGAAAAGTGGCCTTTTTATATTAACAGTAGCCTACAAACATGTAAATCAGTATTGTGTGGTCATTGTCAATACATACTGATTTGAAGGTCAACTAACCTTAAAGTATATTAGTCAGTGACAACATCATAATAAATAATTTTAGTTTGATTTTAAAAACGTTTGACATGATATTTTTTGTCCTCCTATGTACCATTTTATTTGTTTTTAAATGTTAGCCTGTTAGCATGTGTAGTAAAACCTGTCTATGAGTAAAACTTAGCCCAACTGCAAACTAATTGTAACATTTTCGGACACTTAATCGTTCGTTAGATACAATTAATGAAAATGTATTATAGTTTAAATTCATATTAAATGCAATATTTAATAGTTATAGTAACTAATAATAGTAAATAGTAGCCTAGTGATAAACTATTTACTATTTGTGTAAATAGTACTATTGTTGTTTTCTTGACCAATTTTATATGTAATTCAGAGTTACTTCTATTGTCTTTGAAATATGGAGACTGCCGAAATATCTGACAATCATTTATGGACTAAAATATATCGTACTTTAATATAATTTCTGTTAGGGCTGCCAAACGATTAATCGCATCCAAAATAAAAGTTTGTGTTTACATAATATATGTGGGTGCACTGTGTATAATATATATATATATATATATATATATATATAATAAAGGGAACACTTAAACAACACTTAAAAAGTAAAAACAAGAAAAAAGTATTTAATAAGATTATTTCATTCATTCAGATCTATGATGTGTTATTTTAGTGTTCCCTTTATTTTTTGAGCAGTATATATATATATATATATATATATATACACACTGTATGTGTGTGTGTGTGGTGTATATGAAGAGTTCAGATGCAAAAGCCTCTAAATGCCATTTGAAAATTTCTTCTTTAATGATGATTTTTATCAAACTTGTATATTTAAGTTCAGTAATTTCACTTAAATAACAATTAATAGGTAATTATCATTGCCATTTAAGTGAAATCACTGAACTTAAATATACAAGCTTGACATAAATCATCATTAAAGAAGAAAATTTCAAATGGCATTTAAAGGCTTTTGCATCTGAACTCTTCATATATCTATATATATATATATATACACACACACACACACACACACACACACACACACACACACACACACACACACACACACACATAAGATTCTGAATGGAAATTTTACTTTTAAAAAGTTGCCAAATGGTTCCATTGACAAGACCAACGTGATTGGTGTGTTTTGTCTTTGTGAACTGAGCTATCAGAGCCCGTTCTCATCCCAAGGCGTCATATACAACGCTTTTGCCAAAGCGTAGACATCCAACGCACATGGCACCCTTTAGCGTCAAATGAGACGCAGATATATATGGGGCAGAAGGCACCTACTAGTGGTCTAACCCTATACCCCATACCTAAACCTACCCTAACCGAAGCGTTTTATTTGACGCTAAAGGGTGCCATGTGCGTTCAAAGTCTACGCTTTAGCAAAAGTGTTGTGTATGACACCTTGGGTTGAGAATGCATTGACTATCATCGTCGCAGCACGTCCAGTCTGAAATACCAACCCAATCTCACGACCAAGTCGTACGAATTCGACGAATGATTAAAAAGTCTCTAAATCGTAACAATTCATACGACCTCACTCGTACTAATTAGTATGATTTTGCTAAATCGTACATATTTTACGAATTGGCCAACTCGTATGAATTCATACGAATGACCTACCCCTCACCACGCTCCTAAACCTAACCATCACGTGGGTTTAGACAAATCGTACAAATTTGTACGAGTGAGGTCGTACGAATTAGACACTTTTTAATCATTCGTCGAATTCGTACGAATTGGTCGTGAGATAGTGTTGGAAATACCACTTGAAGATGGCCAAGCACACACACACACACAGCTAATGAAAATTCTCCGCCCCCTCGTCAATATCAGGACCTTGTCAGTATTTCTTTCACCCTTTTATTGATGGACAGTGTTACATTGAGAGATTATTTGTTCCAAGTGAGAATTTTAGTGTGAAATTGAACACAGTATATAGCAACGTTGTTTTCAATAAAAAAAAAATTGATAAAAATTGCAATTAATCGTGAGTTAATTATGACATTAATGTGATTAAATATTTTGATCGTTTGACAGCACTAAAAAAAAAAAAAAAAAAAAAAAAAAAGCACATTACTTCTTTTTAGGGTAATCTGATTCAAGATCACACTGCATGGGCACTGTTGTAAACTCGAATACAAAAGACAATCCATGTCATGGTTACAGTCTCCACGCAGCAGGTTTCTTAAAGCCTGAAACAGAAATAGACCGTGTGCACTTTAACAAAAACGTTATCAAAATAGGTAAACAATGTGCCTTTTTTACTTCATAGTTATATCAACACTTTATTTCAGAAAGGTACCAAACCTAATGCTACTTTTTACTATTGTTTACTTCGTATTGTTGCTAAGAGACCATTTTCTTTCTCAGTGATAAAGACGTAGAAAATCAGGTTCTTTCAGGTGCAGGTCTCCTTTGTCATGGCTACACATATCCGTTTACAGAAGCTTGCTGCTTTCCTTCAGAGCGCTGAACCATCAAGAGGCTGACATGGGTTCAACCAGCTTTACCAATCCCTATGCGATCGAAGTCATTCGCATGAAGAAAAGCGAGCTGGTCAATGGCATTTCAAATACAGAGGATCTGCTGGATCTCCTAATCGCAAACGGAGTTCTTCAACCCGACAGCCGAGCCATGATGTCCAGCATCACTGCGCAAGAGGAAAAGAACTCCAGGATGTTAAACGTCTTGATCGCGAGAGGAGAACGTGCCTGCCGAATCTTCTTCTACCCTTGTCTGAAAAGAGCGGAGCCTGACCTTTACCAGCACATGAGAACTTACGTGGGTGGGGTTAATGAGGGCATTAAAGACGCACGGAGACAGCTGATTGGATATCTGCTGGAGAAAGACAAACAAGGTCTTGTCAAATACTCAAAATCAACTAAGGAACTTAATCCTGAAAGAATCCAGCCGAAGTCTATACGGAACGAGGCTACGTCTTCAACAGAACGAAAACAAATCCCCAAATCTGAAGGAGATCATGACGCCATCCTCAGAGCCATATCCTCGGGTGATCTCCATCTCCTTCAGGAGCTTATCAAAGGTTTGGATGTCAATAGTTCTCGCTCGTCCTCCGACTCCCTGCTACATCTCGCTGCTGAATATGGGAAGGAGGCCATTGTGTACTTTCTGCTCAGACAGGGGGCGAAACTAAACTTAAAGGACACGGAGGGCCGTACTGCCCTGCACAGAGCTTCAGAACGGGGCCATACTGATGTTGCTCTGGCCCTCGTGAAGGCCGGGGCCGACCTCCATGCTACAGACCACACGTCAAAGACACCTTTGCATCTGGCTGCTCAGAATCAACACGAGAGTACGGTCAAAGCTCTAGTCCTCGAAGAGAAGAAGAGCCTCAAGAATCAGACAACAGTTCTGCACATGGCAGCCATTGAGGATGAGGCAAAACTGGCTGAGGTTCTTCTGAGGAACGGCGCTTCGGTTGATACCCGAGATGGTCAAAGGAAGACGGCTCTCTATCACGCCGTTCGCCACGGTAACGAGAAAGCCGCCGCTGTGCTGTTGAAGGCCGGAGCCCAGGTGGACTCTGTGATCGTGGATGCTGCCTTTGAGCTGAACAGAAAGTCTCTGTTGTCTCTGTTTTTGCGGTATGTCCAGATGTCCATGTCTCAGAGTGAGATGAACTCGGCTCTTTTTAAAGCGGTACGGAGGAACTTGGACGGGGTCGTGGCTGCGCTCATTGCTCATGGTGCGGATGTTAATAGCTTTAACGAGCTTGGATACACACCTTTGCTTCTAGCTGCGGAGCTGGGGAATGCGGAGGCCCTCAAAGTGCTGGTGTCAAAAAAGGCCAGACTGGATGAGAAACTGCCAAACCAGATCTCAGCTCTTCACCTGGCCATACAAAGTGGCAGTATGCAAATAGCACAGGTAAGTGGCTTAGCCTTTAAATAAAATTAATTTGTTTTATTAAACAAATACACAAACAAACATAACAATTTTTTTAGAGCCGTCAAAGTCAAATACTCATTAACAAAAAATTATAATCTTGAATGTTTTATATTAATTTTATATGTATATCATTTTATTCTACTTTTTAAAAACTGAAATTTAGGAACTAATCATGATCAGAGCTAGTAATTTATGTGATCTGGATTATGTAAATAGATACAAAAAAAATTAAGTACTTGTAATTGGATTACATTCTAAAATAATCATAATGGGCTATTATGCTCTTTGAAACGAAACTTTCATACGTTTAGATGTAATTTTATATATAGTTATGTTTGTTTAATATAATTTTAAAAAGAAGCATAAACACAACGAGGGGTGTCTGTTTTTGTGACTAACGTTTCTTTAGTATAACCACGGAGTATAAAATTCAATATATATTCTCGGTAAAACACTACACTACAATCACAACATTGGAATCAAAGCAAAAGTATATAATATTAGGCTACATCCCTGGATATTGTAGTCTAATTGGTTCATGCTCCACGCTAATTGGTGACAATGAATCTCTTATCTTGAAACTTTCATGATTTACTGTGAACATGGAAGATCGTGCGTCTGTGCATTAAGTGCAATGCAACAGTTACTTATCATTTTGAGCAGTTGTATCAATAGAAATGAATAAACACTCATTTGAAATGTAATATGTGAATTGCCTTTTGAAATAGTACTACTTTGATGCAAGTTGTGTCATAATGAACACGTGATTTTTGTTGAATGAACAAATGATCTAATATTTATGTGTATTGAATCCAAGCAATTGAGAAAACAGTTAGAGTTTTGAAAAATGTGCATTTTGATCATTGGTTGTGAGTTTTGTGTCTAGAGTTGACATCAAAAATGACATCAACGTTCTGAAAATAGTAACAAAGTGATTGTAAAAAAACTGTAAACAAAAGAATGTTGGTAAGATTGTAGTTCTTTACATAGTAGAAAAAAAGTGAGGTTGTCAATGGCTGACATCAATTGTCTGGTTACCACATTCCAACATTCTTAAAAAACAAAAACAAATCTTGTGTTCGACAGAAAAAAGAAACTCATATGGGTTTGGAACAACTTGAAAATCTGAAATTTAATCATCTACAGCAATAATCAAAGCTGCTCTTTGGGTCACCAAAGTACATAAGATATGCATTTTGATAATAAATCTGAACTCTTCTGTTCTAATCCAGATATTATTGGATAAGGGCATAGACCCCAACATCAGTGGCCCCAAAGATCAGACCCCCCTCCATCTGAGTGCATCACATAACCAGCCAGCGTTGATGGCGCTGTTGTTGCGTGTGGGGGCTCAGATTAACTCCATCACCCAGGACGGACTCACTCCCCTGCACCTCGCGAGCCAGAGCGGTCACACTGAAGCGGTCGCCCAGCTGCTGGAGGCCAAGGCTGACCTCCATGTCAAAGACAAACAGGGGAGAACAGCCCTGCATTGGGCAGCAGCACACGGGGAGGTGGGAGTCATACAGCTGCTGCTCGCTGCTGGGGCCGATCCCAACGCCTCTGAAAAAGAGAAAAAGACCCCACTGCACCTGGCTGCCATGGAGGGACACACCAAGGCCGTTTCGGCGCTGATGGCCGGTAAAGCCAAAGTCGGAGCTAAGGACATGGATGGCTGCTCTCCACTGCATTACGCAGCTCGAAGCGGGAAGGAAAGAGCAGCCGGCGTTCTTCTCGCATCTGGTAAGAGCATGAATGTGGATGATAAGAACGTGTGGAGAAGGACTCCTCTGCATTTAGCGGCAGAACATGGCCATGAGACGCTGGTGGACCTTCTGCTGAAGAACGGCGCCAAGATCAACTCCCTGGATAACAATAAAGACACACCACTGCACTGCGCTTGCCGTGACGGGCATGTGGAAACAGTACAGAGACTAATAAACTGGACAAATGGAGAACGAGCCAACCTTCAGGCAACTAATAAAGTCAAGAAAACCGCCCTGCAGGTGGCGGTGTTAGAGGACACACCAGATCACCAGATCATAACTACTCTGCTAAAGAAGAAGATGTTCCTTGTGAAATAATAAGAAGAAAACTGTATAAAATCATAAAATATGTTTGGCAGAAATGTTTGCTAAGCTGTATTATGAATCATTGACTATCACCCCAACCAGCAGCTTTCACTCTTTTTGCATCATCATTTTGCATAATTTTACAAACATTACATTTAGAACAAGAATTTTTATTTTTATTTTATTTTGTATATTGGGAGTGGATTGGTTGTGGTTTGCTATTGCTGTGATGCCATGTAAGTGACAAGTTGTCCCACTCTCATGTCAGTAAACACGTCATCAGATAAAAGAAGAGATCCAAGAGGGAGGGGGTTATTTTGATTAAAGATTACAAGGGCAAGTGTGTTTAAAAAAATAATGATGTGCATGGATAAATATATATGTTTTTTTTTATTTATACTGCAAAATTCCATAAAAACAAGAAGTGTCCATTTTGATTTCATGATGACTTTAACGTTGCTTGATAAAGCAATCCTCAGTTTCATCAATAGGTGTCACTCAAATCATGCATTTGTGAACCTTCACCTTCACATGTTAAAACCTACTGTCTATGGTAAAAAAATACCTACAGTAGGCTATATGGCAAAACAAAACAAAAAAACAAAAAAAGAAAAGCGGTTTCAGCATTTTCAGGTTGTATAACGCACAATACTGTGGAAAAACGTATGCAAGAATGGGCTAGTTGTCACACTTTTCACTCAAAAGTAGGCATTTCTCAGGGTATATTAGGTCAATTTCTGTAACTAAAATTAAAAGATTCAAATCTTGCCAACAAAAAGCTACTGAACTTTAATCATGACATTAATCCCATTAAAAATGCCTAAAAAAATAATCCACGAAACTTTAATATGGTTTTGTTGAAAGACCACCCAAAAGCCACTTTCAGAGAAAACACACGTTTGTCTATTTGGACGTTTGACTCAAAACCTTACGGTTGCTCAAACGGTTCTCGTGACAACAACTGATGTAACCATAATACTTTTTACACTATGTGTGATTAAAGGATTGGCGGAGCTTGAAACCACAGTCGCAACAAGTCATGTGACCGTATGTCCACTCTTGTCACGTGACTCCGTGTTGTTGACGGAAATGCTGCAGGAATGGCAAGAAACGAAGAAAAGCAGTTTGGAAGACTGAATCGACTCTGGCTCCAGAAAGAGAGAGAAGGTATGAGATGCGTTCATGGTTTAACGTTATTTAACCATGTAAATTCACCCTAAAATTCATGTGAAATTACGGAAAATGCCATCGCTATAAAGGTCCCTGTTGCTGCTTCTGTGTTCTCACGCTCGTTAGCACATTGTTAGTGTGCTGCATTATGATCTTTTTTTATTTCTAGAGGGTCGCATTAAAGATGTCAACGTGTCACGGCCAAATCTTGTGAGAAGTTTATCTCGTTGTAATGCATCTCTTACAATTTCAATGAGCCCGCTAGCATAAATGACAACCTTACCTTTTTTGGTGGACCTTTTGTCATGCAGGCAACGTTAAATTCAGTGGCAGCAGTGACGAAGTGGATGCCGAGCATTAAGAAGGAGATCGAGTACTATCTGCAGGTACTGATCATACTGCCAACAACACGTGAAAAGTAGCAAGACAGAACTACCATCTAACGGCGAATAATACCAAATATCGGACACTCACTAACTAACTAACACGCGCACACCACTTAATTAGGTTCCCCTGTTCAATTGCTTGTTAACTAAAATGTCTCATCAGCCAATCACATGGCAGAAACTCAATGCTTTTATGGTCATGGTCAAAGTGATCAGAATGGGGAAGAAGGGTGATTTAAGTGACTTGGTTGTTGATGCCATACCATAGTTACTCATGGCCTCAAGATAGTAACTACTCGTGGCTACTTAGTCGCATAGAAATCACGCAAGTCCTGAAAAATAAAGATTGCCACGAAGAACTGGCAAAAGTAATGATTATACATGAAACATTTTAATTGTTTATTAATAAACTAGTGTTTTATATCATGTCAGTGGCTGCAAATACTGAATGTGCATGTACAGAATGTGCTTTACATTAATAACAACAATTAAATAATGATCAATTATCCATGAATAATTATTAATTAAATATAAATTTGATTGTAGATATTTTTAGCAGAATTAGATTTAGTTTTATTGTCAAATGCCAAGTAAGTATGTGTGCGCACAAGGAATCTGGATACAGCTTTTCTCTGGGCTTTGGTCTTTATGCCTGGTCTCTTCTCTTTCCCTGAGGGACTATTTCCCTCTCAGGACAGTGTCAGTGGACTCATATTCATCTTCTAGTCTTGTGTCTTTTCCTTATTAGCTGTGTCAGGGTCACATGACTTCTTGGGGGTTAGCTTTCCTGTCACTTTAGAAAACATCCTGTAACAAACTGTTCAAGATTGATCTAGATTGATTTGTAATTGAGCAGTACCAGTCAAAAATCTGAACAGCCTTGATGAGTTTTTATTATATACTTCTATCAAGGTTAAATAAATATCATCATATCATTTGAACTGACCTGCCTGCGTTCAAATTGTGCAAGATGAGACGGAGAGGGACGGTCGGTCAACCTCAGTTTTTGATACTGATCTTGCTCAGGAAGCAATTTTGCATTTAAAAGACATCCAAAAACAGCCCTGATGTCAAGATTAAAATTTGGGCTGTCAGTGAACATCTAATAGATGTAACCATTGAAAATGTCAAAGAAATGATACAAACACCTTGTAATCTCTGTTTACATTGCGTACATGATGGAATATCATACATCTTGCTAGTAATTTTGGCAAAAACAACCAAATTCAAGGTTATTCTGGCTAGAAGTGGAATAGTTAACCAAGATAACTATTCCATAGTTAACCAAGATGCTGAAACGATTGCTATTGCTTGCTTGGTGCACATACTTTAAAATGGCATGTACAAACCAAATAGATTAAAGATATGGTCTGTTTGAAGTGTCTCAGATTTGATTTAGAAAGAATATGATCCTTTGATTTGTTGATAACTAAAAACAGTTGCACTTGTATTTTGCAGCAGTCGCAGTTATCTCACTACCCAGAGAGAAAGATAGACGAGTTCCGTCTGCACATTGAAGAACTCGAGAGAGAATACAAGCGCTACCTGAAGAAACTGCGCTCCATAGACCCTTCCTGCAAACACAAGCCTTGGGAACCTCGAGCATACACCAAGAGGAGGCAGGAGCCAAGCCATCAACACACCTGTCAGTTCATGCTTTCAAATGACTAGTCTTTTCAGTTCACTTATTTCAACATTCAAACTTAATGGGTTTTTACTGATTAGATATCTGATTTCATCCGGTTTCATTTATACTTGGCCCTTTTGTCTCCACAAAACGAATCTAAATCTGATGTTTAATTCCCACGCTGTTTGAAAGTGACACTGTGTTGAGCCTTCAGAATGTGACGGTGAATGTTGAATTTAATTTGTGGCAGTTTGGTACATCTCCTTGCTGAAGAAAGATGGATTGGCACCAGTTTTTTAAAGAACTAGTAGAAATACATTTTTGTGGTAATCTATATATTTATCAACACAAATATTGTTGATTTGGCCTAATGTGTGTACCGAATAGGGGTCTAACGATACCCTCATGTCACAATTCGACACATATCACGATACTGAACTCACAATACGATATTAGTGCGATAGACATATGGTAAAATGTTAACAAAAAAAAGTGTACTGTTAATTAAAATACTAAATTTGATATTACATTGTGGGTTAAAATGAACAGGCTTGGATTTGGTGCTTGTAACCAAAGGACAATGGTGACATCATTAATAAATACAAAAATATTTATGATTCTGAAACTGAAAATACAGAATTATTTTAGATGAATATGCTTTCACTGACTACATTTAAAATAATGTCGGCCACTTTTTACTGGTAACATCAGACATTTTGCATTTTCAGGACCCACAAATATTCCCACGTTGCATTACAATACATTATAATCAACATTATATATAGTAGTTTAATGTAGTACTGACACTAAAACTCTGAAAACTATTTTGGGGGGACTATCCACAATACATATCGTCACCATCCACGATACGTATTGTTGCATTTTTGTTTTGTGATATTGTGGCATGATATATTGTTACACCCCTAGTACCAAAACTGTATATTCATTAAATACGGTCCTCTTTGCAGCCACCATTTTGTTTAAGATATTTAGAACTAGAGGTCGACCGATATGTTTTTTGTTTTTTTTACGCCGATACCGATACCGATCTTGACCGATGTTGGCCGATGGCCGATTAATGCTGCCGATTTATTTTGGCCGATATTTGCTTGGTTTTTAACCTCAATTTGAAAGATAGAATGTAAAAGAAATGATAATTACTTAACATAGACAATTTTTATTGTTTATAAAAATTATTAAAAATATGAATATATTAATAATATATTCAAAATAAAAATTAGTTTTTATGAATTTATCCTCTCAAAAAATGTCCTGAAACACGTATTTTTGGTTTGTTTTGTTTGTTGACGGACAAAGACAAATGGACATAACCTAATTATCACAAAAAAGGAGACAAAAAACCTTTAAATGATTTAATTTTTTATATATAAGATTTATTATATTTTATTTAATTTAACTTCTAACAATAACGTATTTCACTAAATTGCTGTTGAAAGACAAAAACAACCACCAGATGGGAAAATGATATTTTACAAACACTTTAAAATGTACCACCACGCACCGTCCGTCTGTTGTTCTTCAGACAACGGCATCCCGCTGTTGGACCTTTTAGTCTACAGTGAAATACAGTCACACTTTACATTGTTTGGCCAGCATTTTAACCGAATTGTTATTTGGACAGAAATTTATTAATTTGTTAAGGCAGAATTTATACAACTAAATTCAGTGGAATTCAATGGCACCCGGTGGCTATTTTTGGTACTACGCCTAAATAAAATCTCATGGGAACTTCAATTTTTGTGATTTCAACTTCAAATTTGGAACATAACTTGGTTAGATTTATTGCTTTGATTTTATAGTAATTTTAGAGTAAAAACTATTTTATAAAATATATGTTTATATCAAATACAAAAAATATATAGTACAGTATATTTGATTTACTGTAAATTTAAACTTCCATAACTTTTTCATACTTTCATTTTTTGAAGTGCAATAATCTGCTGAGTGTTTTCTTTAAAATGAGACCAAACTTGAATATATATTCCAAAGCATTCTTGAATTTACCATTTAAGTTTGAATAGTGCATTTTAACCCCCATTCTCAAAAAGGACAGGAAAAGGGTTTAAACAGAGGGCATTCTGGGTGTTAAGAGTCATAGACAGGGAAGAATCTAGCTATGAAAAGATTTTTAAACTAGCTTTTTTATAGGCAGTAGGTATTTAAATAAATATAATGACTTACATTTTGGTGCGAAAAACTGTTGAAAGAACTAAACTGATAAAGAGTTGATTACATGACTAAAATTGATCATAATAAAGAGCATCTCCAATATTTTCACAAGACAATGGCTGGAAAAGAAAAGTATATAGTGATTACATGTACACACAGGAATATTCCAGTAGCTGTGGATCATGTAAACTCCAGAATAAAATCTCAACCTGAATATAGATTTGAACTGGATGTAAATGTAGTCATTATTCTGTCTTCTTTTTCTTAGCTAAAAAGCCATGCCTCCAGGGCCCCAGCAGAGGAGAAGAAGATGTTAATGAGGACACCAACCCCGAAGCAGCAGGAAACCACACATCTCTCACTAATATACAAGAGCTTCCCACCCCGTCAGCACCTGTTACCACCCAAGCCTTCGATCCCCCGGCCCAGGACCTCCCGCTGTGCTTTGATCGGGCCCGGCTCGCGGTGGC